GGGGACCTTGTCAAAAGCCTTACTGAAATCAAGAGATGCTATGTCTACTGCATTCCCTTCATCTACCAAATGGGGACCTGGTCCTAATATTCATTCATTGTGGAATCCATGGGGGAGTTCTCTCCCATCATCCCCAAACTCTGCTCTTTCAGGATACCCAATTCTTGGGTTTACACCATTTGTATAGATACTTGCTGTTTTGTGGATGATGGTTGTGGTCATTCCTTCCTGGGCTCTATCATCCCTCTGGCTACAGCTTCTTTTTCCTGGCGGATCTTGGAATTTCTCTGAACCTTGCCATCCTTTCCATGCCAAAGTTTGCTATTAGGATATATCCTAGGGTCAGTGTTTGGTGAGGAAGTTACTTCTTTGGACTACAGTTCCACAAATCCCCTGGTCATCATGTCTGGCGGTGCTTCATGTTAGGTAGAGGGGTGGGCAAATTTCAGGTGTCATTGGATGAAGAGGCTCCCATCATCCCCAGCTAGCATGCCCAGTGGGCAGGGGAATTGTGGGGAATAATGGGAGTTGCAATCCAACCTAGTTGGAGGCTTGCTGTGGTTAAAAAGTCTTTTCTTTTCTTCTTCTGTGTTATTTTTTAAAGCATCTTTTAGCCAACAAAGAAGTCAGTGGAGTTTTGGAAGCTTGTGCTTTTTGGTTGGCCAACAAAGGTAGGCAAAATCTTTTGTTGATTTTGGATTTTGTTTTATTAGAAAATATATTTGTTTTACTCAAATATATTTTCTAATAAAACAAAATCCAAAGTTAATTAAGTATATAAACATAAACAAAGGCATACTCTGAAGCACATAGACAAAAGCAAACCAGACAACATGCACAGACATCTAAATGCATCATAATCAAAGTTTCAGTCCCTTTTTTGTTTTATTAAACAAATTTTATTCCTCCCTTTACTGCTGATTTCTTTCTGTCGTATGAAATTGGGGGAACTGGTTTTAGCTGTGTATTGTCGGCTTCGGTTTTTGTTTCAAGATATACCGTTTATTTTTTGGGGGTCCTTTGTATTACCTTGCAAGCCGTCTTGCAAACCCAGCCCTGGCGGAAAGGTGCGACGCAGATTAAATAAATGCCGTTTGTATATCATGAATGCCCTTTAAAAGATGTGAAAATGAAATGAAAATAATCAGGAACGAGAGGCCTGTGAGGACGTGACAGTGTTCACACCGACATGAGAATGCACAACACAGCACGCATTTCCTTGCTCTTTCTTCCCTTGCTGCTGGACGTTCGTCCTTTTGCAATCCCCGAACGAACGTGATCCCTTGAGCGTGCAAGCGGCATTCTTTCCTTCTAAGCTCATAGACTGGCAAGCATCTCCCTTTCTCTAATGGGGTTGGAGACTTTGTGCAAATGTGTGTGTATGTGTGTGTGTCTTTGCAGTTGTGTACTGGAGCAGTGCAATACTTAATTCCCTAAAAAGGGAAGGCGTGCACGGTCGGCATTTCTTGAATGCTCCTTTCTCTCCCAACATCCCTGCAGTGTGGGTTGGACCCTAGTCCCTCATTCAGATTTATTTTCACTTTTTTTTCTTTTAAAAGGAATAATTCAAATTAAATTTATTTAATCACAGTTTCTTCCTTGGACAAATGGACGTCTGTCCATTACATCTTTTATTAATTAAAAAGTCATTTATCCGGCTTATAACCTGGCCATCCCAGGTGCAAAGACCATCTCACTTTCTTCCTTCCCTTGCTTTTGTGAACATAAAATAATTTTTTAGATGGCTTATCCATAAACCATTGGTTCCCAAACTTTGGTCTTCCAGATGTTTGGGACTTGAGCTCCCAGAATTCCTGACTGTTGGCCAAGCTGGCTGGGGCTTCTGGGAGTTGAAGTCCAAAACATCTGGAGGGCCAAAGTTTGGGATCCCGTGATCTAATCGAATGCATGGGAAAATGAAGGAGAAAATATTGTAAAATGCTGTGATCATGGCAATAAATTCCCAGTATTCTTATGGCATGGAGACATGGCAGTTAAAGTGGTGTCAAACTGGATTATTTCTGCAGTGTGGATGCAGCCATGGTTGCACATAAAATTTCAAAAGAGCTTGAAAAGTTTTCTTTTTGGGGGACAGCCACTTTCAGAATCCATGCTGGCTGGGGATTCTGGGAGTTGTTGTCCTCTCCAAAA